CCAGGAGGCAGGATCGCTGAAGGCTACCTTTGCTCCTGGCCATCACAGCTCATCCTCTAGCCTCTGATGATTCACATTCCTCCCGAAACACACTCATACCTTCCCAAAAAGACTCCATTCCATTACAGTATTGGCTCAAAATCTAGAATTTCATCATCTAAATCCAGTCTAGGTGCAGATAGGCTCCTCAGGTGCCATTCCTTAATTATACTTTTTTTTTTTTGTTTTGAGTGCTAACTAAAGAGACAAGTTATCTATCTTCCACATGGCCAACACCCAATGGTGGGATCAGATAGGAAAACTGATCCTATATATACTCTCATTCAAAAAAAAGGAAAATAGGAGGAACATGAGTTAGTGGTCCATAGAAATTCTGAAATCCAACTGAACAACTGTTGAGAGTTCCTTGATTAAGAAGCAGTCCTACTTGTACCTGGGAGAATTTATTTTCCATGGCTCTTGGCTCTATCTTCTGGGCTCCTGGTTCTTCCCTTTTTCATGAAAGGGACTTGTTTGTGGTTGGATGTTTTTCTCACTCTACTTTCTGACTGTAGGAGCTTGGTGATGCAAAGGCTCTATTCATTTTGCACTGTCTCAGTAGCTTGTAACATAAGCTGAAAGACATTTCTCTTAAAAATTGTGTGCATCCCCTATGTATCTTTTTGGAGGATCAAGGAGTATGACAAGAGCCATATCCTCAAATCTCTTTGACATAAAAGCTCTTCAAGGTTTGGAAAGGCTTTAAGACAGTGCCCCTAATATTTGAGATGCTCTATAGTTTGAATGAGAGGGTCTGTGAGGCATACCCTCAATCTCTCTAAACGGCCTTTTGCCTGACTGAGAACCCACCTTGAACTTTTTTCTCAGTGACGTAGATTACATTTTTGTTTTGAAGACATTTCTTGTTTTTCTTTAATTTTAGCATTGTTTGCTGATATGAGTTGAGTTGTATCTTCCAGAAAGATATGTTCAAGTACAAATCCCAGTATCTATAAATGTGATTTTCTTTGGAAATAGGATCTTTGTGATCAAAGAGGACTTGATGTAATCAAGTTAAGATGAGGTAATTAGGGTGGATCCTGATCCTGTGTGACTGATGTCCTTATAACATAAAGAGACACCAGGAATCACAAGTGCTTTGAGGGATAGTCATGAGAGGCAGCAACAGGGAAGCAATGTGCAAGGCAAGGAGAGGGGCCTCAGAGGAAACAACCCTGCTACTACCTTGATCTGGGACTTCCAGCTCCCCAAACTGTGAAAATTCCTGTTGTTTCAGTCACTCAGTCTATGGCATTTTATTATGGCTGCCTGAGCTCCCTAACATACCCACTTTCTGAAAGATACTTGAAAATACCTTGCTGTTGCCCAACAAATGTTTATTTCTCTTCTTTAAAAATATTTTTAAAAATAATTTTTGTTTTGAAGTATATGATTATACATCAAGGCATATAATACTGTACTTAGATTTGTTTCTATATAAAATGTATATATTTGTGAATAAATATGTATAGTTAGACTGCTTCTAATCTAATGTGAGAGCCTGGGCTTTCACTAGGAGGTGTGACACTTTTTCATTTCATATTATAGCCCATTTTTTGGGAGTGGGGGCAGGAGTGGGGTTTGAACTCAGGCCTCTGTGCTTGCCAAGCAGTTGTTCTACCATTTGAGTCATACCTCCAGTCCTTTTGTCTCTGGTTATTTTGGAGATGGGGTCTCAAAAAGTATTTGCCTAGGCTGGCCTAAAACTGCAATCCTCCTGATCTCAGCCTCCCAAGTAGCTAGGATTACAGGTGTGAGTCACTGGTACCTGGCTGTAGCTATGGCCCATTTTAAAGCTATTCTCTCACCCTCCAGGAGTGAGAACTGGAGGGATTTAGGATGGAAAGGAATAGGAAGCTGCTTCTCTATGGTTTACTGTGGGCTGAATTAAAGGATCCATTGTAATGGAATGTTTTTTTTAAGGAATTACCAGATCAGGGCAGTTCAAGATCAAAGCACTAATCTTCCAGGGCCAAGGAGAGGATCTTGTACTGGCCAAATTAGAGACAAAAGTGATATCACAATTAGTGGGAAGCAGATTTGGGGAAGCAATCCTAGAGAAATCCTCAAACCAAAGATTAACTGGCAGTCTATACTGTTTTTTTGGCAGCACTGAGGTTTGAACCCAGGGGCCTCACACTTGCTAGGCAGCTGCTCTACTGCTCAAGCCACTCTGCCAGAGGACAGACAGATACACTTGAAGGATCTTTAAGAGCATGCTTTCTTAGTTATTCTTTCTTCTGTCTCTGATGATACAAACTTTGGTCACTTCCTTATCTTTGCTTTGTTTTCTGCAGGGACTTGGAAAACAAGCGCCCTATGTACAGTACTCATGTTAGCTTTCTGTTTAATGAAATACATATTTTAACCTATGCTTCTCCAATTATTAAGGGCAGAACAAACCAACATCTCTTCACTACCTTGCAATTAAAGTAAGAATTTCAGCATATTTTTACTTTATTTTTTAATCTTACCTTAAAAAATAGTATACTCCCAATCTGTTTTAGAAAGTTAGCTAAATTTTTTGCTTGTTTGTTTATATGTTTGTTTTGGGTTTTTTTGGTGGTACTAGGGTTTGAACTCAGGGCCTTACACTTGGTAGGCAGATACTCTACTAGTTAAGCCATGCCCCCAGCCCATTTTTGGCTTTAGTTATTTTTCATATAGGGTCTCATGTTTTGGCCTGGGCCGGCCTTGGACTGTTACCATTTTACCTAGGTCTCTTTGTATCTGGAATTACAGGCACCCACCACTATGCCCACTTTGTTTTGCAGAAAGGGTTATTGCTAACTTTTTATCTAGGCTGGTTTGAGCTACAGTCTTCTGGTTCTCCACCAGAGTAGCTAGGATTGCAGGTATTAGCCTCTAGGGACTGGCCCTTAAGTTTGTTTGGTTTTCTTTTGATGGTAATGGCGTATGAACTCAGGGATTTTCAATTGAGTCACTTCTCCACCCCTTTTTATTCTGGTTATTTTGGAGATAGGGTCCCACTTTTTGCCCAGGTCAACCTGGATCATGATTCTCCTATTTTAAACTTCTCAGTCTTGCTGAGATAACAGGCATTTGCCACCATGCTCAGTCTTCTTCCATCAAGACGGGGTCTCCCAAACTTTTTTTTGCCTAGGCTGATCCAGAATTTTGATCCTCCCAATCTCAGCCTCCTATGCATCTTGGGATAACAGGCAAGTGCATCACCACACCCAGCTATTGGTCAAGATGAGGTCTCATGAACTCCCTGTCCAGGCTGGCCTCAAACCATGATCCTCCCAATCCCAAGTAGCTAGGATTACATACATGACCCACTGGCACCCAGCCTGGCCCCTAGGTTTTTTAAAAACTTCATATTTGTTCTAAAAACAAATACACATACATATGCACATACACATATTGGCTTCACAGGGACCACCACCAAGGCTTTTATATCTTGTCTTCTTTAGTTTTGAGTTATTGTGATTCTTTTAAATGTCCTACTGTGATTCTTTTAAATACATTACTGCATGTGGAGCTAGTGAATAAAGACTGAAGCTAGTCTAAATTTTTCCCCTTTTGAGTGAACTATTATTTTCGGTCTAGCTGCTTCTGTGATACTCTCTTTATTTTAGATTTTCAGGCTATGTCAAGCTCTAGGCTTTTTCCACACGTTTCCACATGTTTTTAAAATATATATTGAGGAAATGTTCTTCTATAATATGTGTGATTATTATTGCTGCCCCCTTTGTTCTGGCATTTTCAAGAATGTTTGCTGTCCGTAGGTTGGATTTTTGTCATTTTTCACTGTGTTTATTTCCTTCTCTTGCAATTCCTTCTTTGGCTTTCTCTTTCACTGTCTTGGAAGGCCAGTGCATAGGCTGCAATTTCTCTGTTGTTAAATCTCTGGTGCAAGCATACTATGTCTGTCTGAGATTATATCCTTCTCTCATTTTGGTTGGCTCCATGTTTGATAAGGCCAGGATATGCAGAGTGACTTAAGCCATCAGATTGTGCCCTGCAGCTTGGCAGAGGTTCCCCTCTGATCTATGCCTGGAGGATGGATGGATCTGCACTACTCCTAGCCCAGCTTCTAGAAGGTTCTCACCAAGTGTGGCTCTGCTCCACATGCACAAGTCTGAAGTACTTAGTACTTCAGGACTCTTCTGCCTCCAGAGCATTTCCATTCCTATGCACCGTGCACCTCCTTCCTTTCTACCCTGCTGCGTGTACCCAAAGACATGACCAGGTAATTGGGTAATTGATATAAAAAGGTAAACTGCAAGGGCTGTTGCATGGGCCCCATTCCAGCCCTCTTGGCCCCTAATTCCCAGGCAGAGGGAGAGCAGCAGCCTGGAACCTGGTGATGCAGCCCTCAACCCCGAGCCAAGATAGTGAGAGGATGAGCGAAGTGTTCTCCCGGGGTCTTGCTGGTTCATCATGTTGGATCAGAAGATGGGAAAGACCTTGCTGGGGCCAGGGGTCGTTTCCACAGAGCAACCTACTGGTGCTGTACATGGTGGAAATTCCTTCCTGATTTCTGCCAATGCTGACATAACATTTTATGGTTTTTGCAGAGATTCATGAGCATTTTAATAAGAAACAGAGTGCATCTGAGACTAGCACGATGTTCATTTTTACATATGTCTGATGCACATCCCCCAGAGAATAATGTGCTTGTTATATACATAGAATGATGATTTTCTTCATTCAGTGAAGGTTAAATACCATCCACTCATTAGCTCCCATGGCAGTCAAATGATGCTTGTGGGTGCAATCCTAAAACACCACACAAGGAGTTAACAGCAGCATTCTGGCTTCAGAACAAGCTAGGCCATCCTGCAGATCAGCCCATGGGAGTGCATGGTCATTTCCTGAAGCTTGTGATTAAGCTGACTCATCCTCTATTAAACTTAGCAGATGGTCCATCAGTAAGGATATGCTTTAAACATATGTCAAAAGGAAATTTAAAATACAACACAATGTATCATTACCTTATAATAAATTCTGGCCACCAAACTCCGCTGAAGAACCCGTTCACGAAAATTCACAGCTTTCAACAGAAAGGCGAGACTGCCAACTGTGTCCAAGCTAAATGCGAGGAAACTGGAGGGAAAACACAGTGACTATCATTATTATTTTGACTTCACCAAAAAAAAAATTTCATTTGAAAGAAACATGGAGGGTTTGTTCATCAAAATTTTTTTTCCTTACTACACAAAATTATAATAAATACACAGAACCTCCCCATTCCATCTCTCATGGTACACATGCTTTCTTTCCGGTACAGTATTTTTCTGGTGAATGCTTGGCTCTAGTTTATTCTACATCTTTTCCTTGTGATACAGAGATAATTTGGTTTCCTGCTTTTTTCCATTGACTGTTGTATTATAAGTAATGTTCAATATTATGTATATAGTCTTGCTTTATTTACAGCCATAATATTTCCATCAAGAGAGTTTATAATAAGAAGGGGACTAAGGTAGAAAGGAGAAAAATAGAAGGATGAGCCAATTTGGGTTATAATACATATTTACATTGAAATGTCACAATGAAACATCCTGTATAGCTATTTTAAGCAAACAAAATGTGATTTTTTTTTTTATAAAAACAGAGACCAGGAAGGCAAAACAGGTCCTGTCTGGGGGATTGGTATCAGTGGGAGGGGGAATATGGTGGAAATATCATGTACATATGTAAATGGAAAAACGAGACTATTGCAACTATTCCAGAAATGGAGGTAGGGAGACAAAGGAGAATGGTGGAGGAGGTTTATTCAACTATAATATTTTGTAAGAATGTTTATAAATGCACAATGTACCCCAGTACAACAATAATAAAAATTAAAAAATCATGGTTGACTAACTCTTACAGTGGAGTATTAGTAGTCAAATATATGGGTCACAAAGTATTTGGCAGTGAGTAGTATTTATTAGATACATTACATATCAGAAAATAGGTGCTTAAAGTATTTGGTATTCTTAATAATTCTAGGATCAGATACACACCGAGGCTCAAAATGATTCAGTCACTTGCTCACGGTCACACAAGCAGAACACAGTCAGGCTTGGACTTTATGTTGGGAAACACTAGTGTTTCAGGGAAAAGGAGACCTGGAGAGCTGGAAGCAAAGTAGATACAGTGTGCCACAGAGATGGTGACTTCCTTTTTTTATTTTTTATTTTGGTGGTACAAAGGTTTTAACTCAGGGCCTTATACTTGCTAGGCAAATGCTCTACCCCTGGAATCACACTCCTCACCCTTTTTAGCTTGAATTAGTTTTTTCAAATAGGGTCTTATACTTCTTGCCTGGGATGGCATCAGACCTCAATCTTCCTACCTATGCCTCAAGGGTCGCTGGAATCACAGGTGCATGCCACCATGCCTGGCTTGTTCGTTGAGATGGGGTCTTGCTAACTTTTTGCTCAGGCTGGCCTTGAACTGCAATCCTCCTGATCTCCAAGTAGCTGGGATTATGGTGTATGCCCCCATACCCCACCTGAGATGGTGAATTTCTTTAGCAGGTCATAATTTTCACCTTCCCTGTTTGGCAAATGGGGAAACCAAGGCACAGGAGAGTTAAGAGACTTAAGCACAGACTCAAAACACTCAATCCCAAGGTTTTTCCTCACACAAGTCTACTTTTTGTGCTACTTTTATGCCCCTTTCCCCAGAAGTTTCTGGATAAGCTAGGAAAAAGGATAAGCACTTAATTCACAGTTAGGGTTTCCCATAGCTTGCCTGCCACTTTCCCCATCCTAGAAAAGTAAGTGACTGTAAGCCAAATAACTTAGATTCCCATTAACTAAACATTAAAATCCCAAGTACCTATTATTCAACCAGATGCAAGAAACTTTTGGAAGCAACTGTCACAGCACTTCTGAAATGCTAAATGCGGAATTAGTACTTAGCTTCTGTGTCATCAGGGAAGACAGGCAGGACGTTATTCACACGCCAGTTACCAGGAAACCTGAATTGCTGTGTATCAGTGCTTACTCTGAACCTGGGCTTCCAAGGTCCAGTTCCTGTCTCAGTTTATCTTAAAAAAGGTGCAAAGCAGTTTATTGAAAAGTGTGCCTTAGTCATTCCAGGGGTGATTCCTCTGAAACCTGGAGGATATGTATGTTGTTATAGAAAGTGCTTTTGAATCCTGGGATATTTGTTGTCGGCCATTGTTTGTCTATCTGAGGTTGTGAAGTGCCTGTGTTCTAGGCAGGATCTTACTCACGCACCCCTGTGAATTCCCAGGAATTGGAACTCAGCTGGGATTAACATTATTCCTTAAAAATAGGAATATTGAGGTTGGGCATGCCTGCAATCCCAGCTACTTGGGAGAAAGAGATTGGGAGGATCACAGATCTAGGCCAACCTGAGAAAAAATGTTAGAGAGACTCCAACTCAACACATAAGCTGAGCGTGGTGGTCTGCACCTGTCATCCCAGCTATACAGGAGGCTATAGGTAAAAGGCTAGACTAAGATACTACCTGAAAAATTACTAAAGCAAAAAAGGACTGGGAACATGGTTCAAGTAGTAGAGCATAAGGCCTGAGTTCTAGTACCTCCAAAAGAAAAAGAAAAGAAAGAAATATTGATGAAAGGCACACTCTCTTTACAAGAAGGTCAAAATGACTATATTTAAGTAAAATTAGATTGAATACATAATTGGTCATCAGAGAAATGCAAGTGAAAACCACAATGAGGTAGCATGTACTTCCACCAGGATGACTCAAATTTAAAACACAGACATCAAATAGAGAAAGAAGATAGAGAGAAACCAGAACTTTATACTTGCTGATGGAGATGTAAAATGGCAAAACAATTTTGAAAAAAGTTCTCACAGATTCTCATAAAATTAAACAAACACATATTGCTATTACCTAGCAATTCCATGCCTACCATTCGCTGAAGAGAAATAAAAACAAATGTTCACCATTCTACTCACCTGAGTAAAAAATTAGAAACATCCAGGTGACTGTTCATTGTAAGAAAATGGAAAACAAATCCCAGTATATCCATAAAATAAAATATTACTAGGCAGTAAAAAGGAATAACTCTCAAAAAGCATTATGTCAAGTTATTGAGCCAGCTACAAAAAGAGTACAGACTGTATGTTCCATTATATGAAATTTTATTTTTTTCCTATCAATCTTTTTTTTAAATATTCATTTATTCACATGTGCATACATTGTTTGGGTCATTTCTCCCCCCTCCCCCCCTCCCCCACCCTCCATTATATGAAATTTTAGAGCAGGAAAATCTAACTTGTGGTGGAAAAATATCTGAGTAGTGTCTGTGTCTGTGGTGGTAGCCACAGGGATTGACAGAGAAAGGCCATGAGAGAACTTTCTGGAGTGATAAGAGTTTTGATTACAGAGGTGCATGTATTTATCAAAAATCAGTGAGTATACATTTAAGATTTGTTCATTTCATTGTATGTAAGCTCTACAAAAGAAGAAAAAGAACTATAACCAAATATTGAACTTCAGTTAACGATGTCCATGCTGAATTTAGTAGCATGCTACTGTCTGTAGTTTACTTTGAAATGCATTGATAGAAGGTGAACCAATGAATGAATTCAAGAATTGATACATGGATGGATATACAGTCATGCCCTGCATAACATTTCAGTTCATGATGGACCACCATATGACAGTGAGCCTATAAGATTATAATGGAGCTAAAAATTTCCTATTGCCTAGTGATATTTTAGTCATTGTAATATCACAGTGGGATGGATTGCTCAAGCGTTTGTGGTGATGATGGTTTAAACAAACCTACTATGCCTCAGTTATAAAGCATAGCACAGGAGAAATGGATAAGGGTATCTGCACTAATCATAACAGTCCCTTCATGTCTGCACCAATCATGCTGCAGTCATTATGCAAATGAAAGATTGTGCTTGAACCAATCACAGGTCTTCTGTTGAACTGAAGTGCTCCTCCCACACCTGTCTGAGTAGAAGTGGCAGTTTACAGTAGTTGGTATTCTTTTGGGTCACAGCACCTTTCAAAAGGGTGCTTACAGACTGGTGGAGTGGCTCAATGCTAGAGAAGCATGAAGCCCTGAGTTCAAATCCCAATACCATCAAAAAATTATCTATAAAAGGTGCTTACAACAAAGGTTTATCAGTAATAGTACTTCAACAATATTTAACAAAAAATAAACTTTCAAAAGGATGCTTACAGAAAAATAAATAAAAGTATAGCACATAATACTAGAAAATGATAAACAATTGTGTTACTGGTTTATGGATTTACTATGCTATACTTTTAATTATTATTTTCCAGTGTATTCTAAAAAATGTTATTTAAAAAGAGTTTACTGCTGCATGGTGTGCTGTGTTCCACCAGCAGTGGCCTCATATATCTTCTCTTGATTGTTTTGGGGTCCTGTTGAGTGGCTGACCTATACTGTCAGGCTCATGCAAGCACATGCTGTGATGTTCACACAATGTCAAAACCGCCTGAGGACTCCTGTCTCAGAACATGCCTCTGTCGCTAAGTGACATGTGACTGTGATTATGTAATACTAACTTAGCATGAACAGTGCCATGTTCACAGTAGAACCTCCAGGAGGTTCTGTATGGAAGGTCAATATATGAGTGCTCACTCTGAAAATTTTCACAAAACACTATGGAAAGACAGTGGATACTCAAGAGTCTCTTTGGGGTCCCTGGACTGGATGAGAGCAGTGAGGGGGACAGTGGCAGGTCCTCTTTGGAATGGTGAGAGGCACCACTGACTATTACAAGCAAGGGTAGAGGGGAGCTGTTTGTAGAGCCCCCTCAGAGTCACTTCCTTCTATGGTGTCCTCCCTGTCAATCTGTACCTGCCTCACCTGGTCTCCCACCACTGTCAAAATGAGGGGTAGCCTCTGGGTGTCCCCACAAATGTCTGCCACTTTGGAGAGATTTCAGAGTACCAGGAAGTTCTCAGCCCATCTTTCTTCACTCTCCCATCTGTTCCCCTGCCCTCTCCAAAACCCAGGCCTTGTCACTATGAGGAACATCCAACTGTTCTACTGAAGTGGGAGCCCCATGCAAGCTGAACAGTGTCACTGCTATGTCACCAGCACATAGAGCAGTGCCTGAAAGAATGGCCTTCCT